CAGCAACAACGGCTCACGCCTGATATTTCCTCACATGTTATTCAAGCATCGAGCTCTCGCGCGGGACTTCCTTGCGATGTATTCAGGGATCGCGCCCTCGCGCGGGTCTTCCTCGAAATGTATTCAGACGCCGCGCTTTCGACATTCAGGAGTCACGCTGTCGCTGTGGATTTCCTCACGATTGATTTGGGAATCGAGCTGTCGCTCAAGACTTCTTCGCGATGCATGCAGGACGCACGCTTCAGCAACCCGCCTGCTCGACCTGGCCGCCTGGGCCCTCCTTCCCGACCCGCCCGTCAGGGTCTATCCGCCAGATCTGCCCGTCTGGTTCTGCCACTTGTTTTCTGCTCCTAACCCCTTCTCCTGCTTATCTCTCTCTCTCTCGTGCTCCATCCTCCTCCCTCCCCATTGCCCCTTCCTTCCATCCTTCTTTTCTTCCCTTGCCTCAGGGGATGCACGAAATACACGTTGCAGGTAAGAATGATAAATGCCCCCAAAGGGGTACGGTCGAAGACGAAGAGGGCGGGTGTCGAGGGTTCGGGATATACGTGTTGAGTGGAACGCGAGCAGATAAGAGCGAACAGTCCAAACATAATGATTGTTGTAATTGTTGTCGTCTTCTCACTTCTGAAAACTAATTCTTGTTGATCTCCCCTCTGGGGCACATTGGGTTTGTTCAATTCGAGTGTTTCTCCCTAGGCTCGCACCCTGTTTTCTTATCAGGAAAGTACGGAGACTCAGAATTGTGGTGTTGCCCCCCGGTTTGCAGTAACAGCGGCTCCCGCCTGATGCTTTCTCACACTTCATGTAAGCATCGAGCTCTCGCGCGGGACCTCCTCACAACTTATCTAGGAATCGCGCTCTCGCATGGGATTTCCTCGCAATGTATTCAAACGCCGCGCCCTCGACACTCAGGAATCGCGCTTTCGCTCTGGGTTTCCTCAAGATTTACGTGGGAATCGCGCTATCGCTCGTGATTTCCTCGCGATCCATGCAGGACGCCCGCTTCAGCAACCCGCCTGCTCGACCTGGCCGCCGAGGCCCTCCTTCCTGACCCGCCCGTTAAGGTCTATCCGCCCGATCTGCCCGTCTGGTTCTGCCACGTGTTTTCTGCTGGCCCGCCTCCTGCTACTCTCATTCGTGCTCCATCCTCCTTCCCCCCCATTGTCCCTTCTTTCCATCCGTCGTTTCTTCCTCTGCATTAGGGACTTCACGAAATACACGTTGCAGGTCATATGTGTATAGAGAGAGAGGGAGAGAGAGAGAGAGAGAGAGAGAGAGAAAGAGAGAGAGAGAGAGAGACAGACCCCAAGGGGGCACGGTCGAAGACGAAGAGGGCGGGCATCGAGGGTTTGGGATACCTGCACGACCACCCGGCGGGTGATGAGGAGGTTCGGGGGGGGGCCAGCAGTGGGCAACAGTGGTGCAAGTTGTTGGGACAGCGCCAGTGGAGATGGTTGCGTTGCCGCTCGCTCTTGGGGGCGCTGGTGTCGAGTTGTTTACGTCACCCTTCCCCTGGGAACCAGCCCAACCTGCGCAACGGCAGCTAACGGCGCCATTTGGCCACAGAAGATTGAAGCGCTGGCAAAGCTTGGCGCAGCCCGCGCCGCCTCTTGCACTATCGATCTCAGTATCGATTTCTCTATCGGTCTCATTCAATCGAACTCATTCGATCAATCTCACCATCGATCTCACAATCGATCTCATCATCGATCTCTCTCGGTCATCGATCGATTGATCGGGCAACCGATCAATCGATCGATGACCGATCGATCGAGCAACCGATTGATCGATCTCACAATCGATCTCATCATCGATCGATCTCACAATCGATCTCGATCATCGATCTCTCACGACGCCGATGGTCATGGCTGATCATGGCCCCCAAGACCCTCGAATGATGAGGAAGTTGATATGGGGAGGAGGAGGAAGGAAAATGAGAGGTCCAGAACCGAGGGGTGCGTGGTGGAGGAGAACCTGAGAGAACACCTCATTCGCTGTCGCATTCGGTCTCACTACCGATCTCACAATCGATATCATTATCGACGTCGTCATCATCATCATCGACATCACCATTAACATCATCATCATCATCGTCATCAGCGTCATCAGCATATCATCATCTACGTCGTCATCATCATCACAATCATCATCACCATCATGGCCATCATCACCATCAGCATCGCACAATCGATCTCACATTTGGTCTCGTTATCGATATCACAATCGATCTCACAGTCGACGTCATCATCATCATGATCATCATCATCATCAACGACACCAACATCATCATCATCATCGCCATCATCCTCATCATCATCGTCATCATCATCATCCTCATCATCATCATCATCATCGTTACCATCATCAGCATCACCATCATCATCATCATCATCATCATAATCATCCACGTCATCATCGGGACACCGACGGGACACCGAAGAGACACCAGCGGGACACCGGCGGGACACCGCGCGGCACCGGCCGCCCGGTCAAGGTTCTTTTGCCCCGGCCGCCTCTCAGCCACACGGGACACCAGCGGGACACCGGCGGGACACCGCGGGGCACCGGCCGCCTGCTCTGGCCGCGCCTCAGCCACAGGAGACTTTCTCTCGCCCGCCCGCGCAGCTTCGCCTCGCCCGCACGGCACGCACGAACACGAAACCGAAATCGATTTCCCGGTAGGGGGGTTTTCCGTTCCACTTCGATCTCACCCCCCAACCTCCGATACATGTTGAGTGACACGCGAGCAAATAGGAGAGAACAGTTTTAAAACATGGTTGTTGGATTCGCTACTGAAGCATTGTTTTTGTTGATCCCCCCTCGGGTGACAATTGAATTTTCAATTGAAGTGATTCTCCCTGGGCTCGCACCCTGTTTTTATCAGGAGAAGTCCAGAGTCTCAGAATTGTGTTGTTGCCCCCCGGTTTGCAGCACCAGCGGCTCCCGCCTGATGTCTCCTCATACTTCATTCAAGCATCGAGCTCTCGCGCGGGACCTCCGAGATTTCCTCGAGATTCGCGCAGGACCCACGCTTCAGCAACCCGCCTGCTCGACCTGGTCGCCTGGGCCTGCCTTCCCGACCTGCCCGCTATGGGTCTGCCCACCCGATAAGCCCGTCTGGTTCTACCACTTGTTTTCTGCTCCTTGCCCCCTCTCCTGCTAATTTCTCTCGTGCTCCATTCTCCCCCCCCCCCTTCCACCCGTCTTCTCTTCCCTTGTTTGAGGGGCTGCACCAAATGCACGTGGCAGGAACGAAATATACACCCCCAAGTGGGTACGATCGAAGACGACGAGGGCGGGTACCGAGGGCTTGGGATATACGTAGTGATTGTCACATGAGCAGATCGGAGCGAACAGTCTTAACATGATGCTTGTTGTTGTTGTTGTTGGTGGTGGTGTTGTTGTTGTTGAATATTATTACTTCTAAAGAAATATTATTGTTGAGGCCCCTGGTGCGCGACCCCCCTCCAAAACCTAGGCCGCAGCCTCATTTCCTTCATTTTCTAGCGAAAGCTTCAGAAAAGTGGATTGTCACCGGATCCGGTTGTTTTGTTGTAATCCGTTTTCCCTTGCAAAAAACACCATAAAATGAAAATTCTTGTTCTTACTTGATCAAATTGCAAGAATCCCTTGCAAAAAATAAGGTAAAGTGGACATTCGTGCGCGCAAGACGAAATCCTTCCAAAACCTTAGGTTTCGTAACGATTTTAACATAAAAACATCAAAAACCCAATGGTTTTTTAAGAAAAAATTGTCAAAATGTCCTTCCGCGCGCGCTGTCCGAATCCCACAAAACCAATGGTTTTTCAACATTTATGTTACATGAGCTCGCGCGAGCTACTTTTTCTTGTTCTAACATAATCAAATTTCAATAATCCCTTGCAAAAAATAAGGTAAAGTGGACATTCGCGCGCGCAAGACGAAATCCTTCCAGAACCTTAGGTTTCGTAACGATTTCAACATAAAAACATCAAAAACCCAATGGTTTTTCAAAAAAAAATGTCCAAATTTCATCCCGCGCGCGCTGTCCGACTCCCACAAAACCAATGGTTTTTCAACATTTATGTTACATGAGCTCGCGCGAGCTACTTTTTCTTGTTCTAACATAATCAAATTTCAATACTCCCTTGCAAAAAAAAGTAAAGTGGACATTCGCGCGCGCAAGACCAACAAAAAACACGACGATCTCAGGAACTTGCCCCAAAAATGTGACCAACTCCGCTCTCTCTGTCTCTCTCTCTGTCTGCTCTCTGTCTCTCTCTCTGTCTGTCTGTGTCATGTATTGTATGTCACAATTGCAGGATGCTGGGCACACGCGCGCCCCGAATAAGTGACCAAGTTCTGTGGGTGTGTACCCCACGCCAGTGTAGTAGCCACGGTCGTCCGCACGCCACGAAGTGAAGTGTCCCAACGTCATAGGGCGGGAAGCTGGGTTTGGGTGGTCGCGAAGAGTCGTTTGGATATTTGGTAGAGCTTGAACTGCCCCCCCACGAAGTGGGGGTATTGTCTCGCGTCGCATGAAAACCCTGGCACTGGTGAGAACACTGAGCGTTCGGGTAAAATGAGTATTGTTGTTATTGTTGTTGTTGTTGTGCCGTTGGTGTTGTTTTCTGTTGTAGTTCGGGGGCCAGGGGGGCGCAGTCTGAGGCTCACGTATTATTTTTTCCTTGTCGCAACAGGGTGCGAGCCCCAGGAGGGGCACTTCAGTTGGAGATCGCAGTGGGCACTGGAGGGAGGGGATCCACAATTAGTATTCTCGAGAAGTGAAAATTCAGCAGGATCGGGGCCACGGAATCCCAGTTCACCCACGCATCCAGGGATGGTATAAGATCGTACGCCCCCCTCACTCTGATGAGCTTTCGGCGGTCCGCGCAGATCTCTTGGGTGGGCGATGGACCCCCTTCCCACATCCATTCAGCGGGGTGGGGAGGGCGGTCACGCGCCGACAGGAAGTCCGCACGGACCTCCAGAAATGTACTTGCTGCGGTCTTCTGCAGGCAGATGGTCGCCGCGGTGCACTACATGCACGGTAAGCTCACCATGCACAGGGACGTGAAGGCCTATTGTTGTCCCTCTTCATCCTTCCCACTCCTCCCTTGCTCCGTTGCTCCTTGGCATCGGGCGATGTGGCTCAAGAGGCTTTACGCCATTCAGCTGACCCCCAGAAGAGGACCCGTGCGGCTTACGATTTTGCATGTGTGGTTTGCTGTTTCCCGGTCGTGTTGCTCACGTGTAGTTGTTGCTGATTTCGCCCTCTCTTTCTCCCCGTCTGCTGCGGGGCTTCTTGGGGGCCTCTTGGAGGCCTTGGGGTCGGCCTCCTGGAAGTTTTCAGGACTGGGGGCCCTCTGGGGTCTCCTCGGGGGCTGTCTTGTGGAGCAAGGCTCACGGCTGATAGTTCCCTCCCCTCTGTGGGGCAGCTTTGGACCTCTCTTGGAGCTCCCCCTGAAAGACTTTTCGGCTTTCTTTGGGGCCTTTGGCTGTCTTCGGCGTTCTTAGGCCGCTTCTTGGCTCTCTGAGGGAACTCTTGGGCTGTCTTGGGCTGGTCTGGGGGACCACTCGGGCCGTCATGGACTTTCAGAAGCCCGAAGTGGCGAGAGCGCAGGTCGTGAAACACCTATCTTGCCTCGTGAAGCTTTTTTTGGGGTTCTCTTGGAGCCGTCCTGGCACGCCTTGGGCGCCTCTTGAGCCATGTTTAGTCTATTTTGGGTGTTCTTCAGAGATCTCTGGCATGTTGGGGCTCTCCTTTAGCATCTGAGACGGCACGTCCTCTCTGCCGCGCTCGCGCTGGCGCACCCGCACTTCCCGTCCCTCCTACTCCTTCCTCCTCCACGCCTCCCCCCTACCTCCTTCCTCCTCCTGCTGTCCCTCCTCCCTCCACCCTCTCACCAGTCCCGCCCTCAGAGCTAGTCCTGTCCTGTCTCCTCACTCCTCCTCACTGCTTCCCCCTTCCTCCTCCTCTTCCTCCTCTTTTTCTTCTTTCTCCTTCATCTCGTGTTTCCTCCTCTCATCATTTTCATCACTCCCCCTCCTCACTGCTCATCCTCCTCATGCTGTAATGTCATCACCATATCCTCACCCCTCTTACCTCCTCCCTCACCTCATTCTTCCTCTTGTACCCCCATCCTTATCATGCGTCTCTGTACTCCACCTCATGCGGCTTGTCGCTGTCCTCCTATCATTACCCCATCATGTTTATCCCTCCTCCTCCCCACTCCTAGCCACTCTTTCTCCCATCCTCCGTTCTCCTTGTCCTCCCGGCTCTCCTCCCCCTGCGCTCTTATTCTTCCTTGGCCCCTCCTCGTCCTCGTCTTCCTCGCCCCCTTTTCCTCTTCCTCATTCTCTCCGCCCCGCTCCTCCTGGTGCTCCTCCTCGCTCTTCGTCGCTCATCGTTGTCTCCTGAATCAATCCAACTTACGCTTCATTCTGCCTCCTCTTCGTCCTCATCACGACCGCTCATCCCGACCGTTGCTGCCTCTCCCCCTCCTTCGACGTGTGATTCCTCGTTGCTGCCCTCCTCTGCTTCCGGGGCTCGAGCTACATGGTGCCTTGGCGATATCGTGGACCAGTTTCGTTTTGACTTCGTTTCGCAGCACAGTTTCGCAGCAAAGGCAGAGCGAAGACAGAACGAAGGAAACTTACAACAAAACGAAAACGAAACACACTGCTTTGCTCGAGCCCTCTACTCTTCTACACTCCTTTTCACTACTTTTCGGCACCCGTTATCCTAATCCTCTGTCTCCTGCTCCTATGTTCCTCGTCGCCCCTTCCCATCCGTCCTCCTCGGTCTTCCCCCTATCCTGAGAGAAATGAATGGGAGCGACGCCAGAAAACGGGGTCGTTTGCGCCGACATTGGCGCGTAAGCTGCCCGCGTAAGGTCGCGCGTAAGCGCCCTCGTCTCCACTGAAGCGTGCCGCGCTGGCGGTCCGCGTAGGCCGCGGCGTAAAGTCGCTGTGTCATCTCGCGTAAGACCCGCTTCTTTTCTTCGTTTACGTGGGGTACCGTGCAACGCGCCAGGACACTCCACGCACGACGCGCACACGTCTTACGCAACGCCCAACTCTCAATCATCAGTGCACCGGGCATCACGCTAAACACAAGCACACCAGACATTACACGTAACTGCAATTACTACCGACGGGGAGGACAATGACACAAGTCAATGGAACAACAGCATCGGACGGAACACGGACGACCGCGAGCCAGTGGCAAAGAACGAGCACAAATGGTCCCACCATCGTCCCTTCATGTCCTCCTTTCTCCCTCCGGGAGGAGGAGGAGAAGGATGAGGAGGGGAGGAGGACGGGGAGGGGCAGGAGGAGGAAGAGGAGGAGGAGGGGGAGAAGGAGGAGGATGAGGATGGCGCAGGAGGACGAGGGGGAGGATGAGAAGGAGGAGGAGGAGGCAGAGCAGAGGAGGAGGAGTAGGAAGAGGAGGAGGAGGAGGCCCGCTCCCTCGCTCCTCCCACTTCTTTGCCCTGAAGGCCGACAACTACCTCCTCGACAGGGCGAACCTGGCGGACCGTGACTGCCGTGCGGTCCTCTGCGACTTCGGCACCGCGACGTGCCTGAGCCACGCTGGGGAACGCCTGACCGCGCCAATCGGCACCAAGACCCACTGGGCGCCCGAGGCTCGTAGGAGAAACGCACATGGCAGGAAGTTCGAGGATTTGTGTTAGCATTCTTGACCGCTGGAGGCTCTTTTCCAGCTTCAGGACCATCAGGAGTCAATTTGGCACGACAAGCTGGCCCAGATGAGACTCAGCGGGGGTCCAGAGTCCTGGTCAGAACGCGCCCCAGGGGAGCAGGGACAGGCGCAGTCGGTCCCCTCGTGTCCCTCCCCCACGAGGTGTTCGGCGGGGACTACAGCCAGAAGGCAGACGTCTGGTCGCTGGGGGTCGTGATGTACGGGCTGTACGAGGGCATGCTGCCTTTCAACGCCTCCGGCAACTGCAGGATTCGGCTACGCGTGAGGGTGACCTTCCGCCAGAGCGACCTCTGTTGCGCGGCTTTCGGGCGGCGCGAGGGTGCCAAACCGGAACACGCAGGCCGCTACTGTCGCATCGCATGCGACGACTGGCAAACCGCATGCCGAAGGTCACCCTTAGCCTCCGAGGGTCTTCGATCCTGCTGGAGCCCCTCCTCCAAAGCTCTTGGCTGGCAATGTACTCTGCGCGTCCCCCCGTTCGCCCTGTCCTTGTCCTTGTCCTCCTCTTCCTCCTTCTCCTCCGGCCCTTCTTCCTCCTCCTCGTCCTCGTCCTCGTCCTCCTCCTCCTCCTCCTCATCCTCCTCCTTGCTTGTAGCCGAAGGACAACCGAGGTGCGGACTTCCCCCAACGCTCCCCAGCCCTGCGCGGACTTCGTCGCCGCGCTGCTGCGCCGGGAGGAGACCGAACGCCCGAGCGCCGAGCTAGCCCTGGCGCACCCCTGGCTGGAGCGGCAGGCGGACGCGCCGGAGATGAGGCTGAGCCGCGCCTCGACCAGGAAGCTGTTTTTTGTTGAAGGGTCAGTCCGGCGATCAGCCGGGTTCTCGGGCCCGCCCGCCCCCCCCCCTCCCCCCTGGGATAGCCTGGCCTTGTCGCTTGCGCGGGCCCGATGAAGAGTGCGCAGCACCGGTGCGCGCAGGCACACGCGGGGCTGCCCAAAACGAGGAGGTTCGGTTATCGGCTGGCACCTCCCATTCCCCCCGCCACCGGGTATCCTGGGCCATCGCCGAACAGTTCAAATGTCGGCCCCGCGTAAGAGCGACCTTTCGCCAGAGTAATCTCTGGTGCGGGCTCACACTGTGGGGATGCCAGCCAGTTCGGGCTTGCACGTCTGAGCTTGGCTCCCCCGCGGCCCCCGAACGCCGCGCGCCAAAGACCCCTCCTGCCCAGCCAGGGCCACTCCTGTTCGTGTAGTCGCATGTCCGGAGGCTCTTTTTCCAGGGCCCCGGCGACAAGCCGTTCCCCATATTTTCCCATGTTTTCTGTGTTTCTGTCTTCCCCCCCACTTCCCTTATTTTCGCGCATATATATATATATATATATATATATATATATATATATATATATATGGGAATCGGCGAATAATTGTGTCCTTGTGTTTTTTCCCCTCGGGCTCTCTCGGGCCCGCTCGCCCCTCTCCCCCACGCCGTCCTCCCCGTGTGGCCCGACCTCGTCGGCTGCGCAGGCCCGACGGGGGTTACGCAGCAGTGGCGCGCGCGGTCACGCGCGGGGCTGCCCGGAGCGAAAAGGTTAGGCTATCGGCTGCCACCTCCCCCCCCCCCTCCTGGCTGAACCAGGCTCTCGCCGAACAGTGGCAGACTGCATCAGCATACATGTACAAATGTTCGACGGTCCTCGCGGATTTCTTGGATCTGCGCTGGACTCCCCTGGCGGCGCCACCGGCGCTGCCCCTTGTGCGCTCCGTGCGCCAGGGAGGGGAGCCCAGCGCAGAAAGACATCTGCGCGGACCGTGGACGGTTCGTGCATCTGGCGTTTCCTGTTTCTGATGATCGCCGGAACTGCACGCAAAACGATCGCCAGCGACCTGAGCGCCGACGCCATGAGCGTCGACGTCATGAGCGCGGACGACCAGACGCTGAGCCCGGGCCTGCGGGCCGGGCGCCGGCTGCGCGCCACGAGGGTCAACGTCATGGTGAAGGAGCGGCGCCGCCAGCTGGTGCAGCGCATGGAGCAGGTGCTCGGTGGCGAAGTCCGAGCGCGGCCCTCGCCGGTCCACGGCTCAGGCAAGTCGATGGGCGGCGGGGGGCAGGGGCTCGGAGGTCATCGAGCGAGCGACGAGCTTCGAGCCCTGACTCCGCATCCCATCGATGCAGGAGAGTCGACCGCGGGGAGGGGGTGTGATCACCGGAGAGAGAGGTTCGTGCACCAAGAAAGTATCGAAACTGGACGGTTTCCACGTGTCGGGCCCTGGGAGGCGATACTCGTTCGGCTCTTAGCCAGCGTGTCGGGCAGATTGTTTCGATACCTTTCGGGGTGCTCGAAATTATTTCTGGGATGTGGTCCTCGAGTACCAGGGGAGCAACATAAGGTGGGGGTATGGTTCGGATGCCGCCATCTAGGCGCAGCAGCAGCAGGTGGGGAGGTCGGAGCAGGGCGACTGCAAGGGCGTGCCAGTCTTCCTGGAGCAGAGCTTCTGCGTGACGGACGACGTGACGGGCGTCCGGCGGAGCTACAAGTGGTCGCTGATGTCGCAGACACAGGATTCGAGAGCCGATCAACGACTGAGCCTAAATTGTTGACGTTTCGAGTGTCCTTGCTCTTGATATCGCTCGGACGTGTGCACAACGAGAACCAGCGAGGAGCATCTTGGATCATGTTTCGAACAATTAACTAAGCGCACGACACCGCCATATGCACGGGCAATGGACGTCTGAGCGATGGCGAGTGCTGGCCCATCTAGAACCGATCCTCAGTCGGGTTGCCTTGAACAGTAAAGCGTAGGACCATGTAGTGGAAAAGAGGGGGCAGCCGTCCGACAGAAGCTTGGGGCCAGCCTCTCTCAAATGCTTCTCTGGGCTATCTTTTGGCGCTGTTGGAGTCCTTGTCGAGGACTTCTGGGCTTTGTTGGGCCCCTCTTAGTAGCATCGGGGGCTCTTTTGGGGCCATCCTGGAGGACATGAACCAACAAGGCCGGCTGTGTTGATTAGCCCACACCATCGGTGACTGACAACTGGTCTCCTGGAGCCCTCTGGGGGTGCTATTCGGCACCCCTGGGGCCGTATTGGAGCCTTTCCGGGCCCTTCTCGGGGCTCTCTTGGGCGATCTTGGAGCCATCTTGAGGCCTCGGACGCCCATCGGACGCGAAAAGCCGCGAAGGCAACCATCGTTTCGAATAATTCCAGCCTCTCGGGTGGCTTTATTGGGAGGCTCCGAGGCAACTTGGAGCGATCTTTGGGCCATCTTCGGCCCCTTGGAGGCCCGCTGTAGGCCATCGTAGGCCGTTTCGCGCCATCGTGGAAGCCATCTTAGTCCTAAAAGTTTCTCACGGATGCCCCCGAGATGTCACATCTTGTCACACCATGTGTTTGGCATTAGTTTGCCTCTTTTCTCAAACACGCATATTCCATCTGTACATGTGTAGATGGTTGGAATTGTGTTTGCACGTGTGTGTGTGTCTCTCTGTATATGGGTGCACGTGCATGTATGTATGTATGCATGCACGCATGCACGTATGTATGTATGTACATATACATATATATATATATATATATATACATATATATATATAAATGCGTGTAAGTATGTGTATGCACGTACATGTATGTGTATGCGTAGGTGTATGTGTATATGTACCTGTACGACCACCCTTCGTGTGATAAGGAGGTTCCGGGGGGGGGGAGGAGCCAACGTCTCACTCGATCGGTCTCACTATCGATCTTACTATCGATCTCACTATCGGTCTCGCTCGATCGCTCTCACTCGATCGATCTCACAGTCGATATCACTCGACCTATCTCATTCGATCGATCTCACAATCGATATGACCATCGATCTCACAATCGATATCACTATCGATCCCACTATCGATCTCACAATCTATATCACATTCGGTCTCACTATCGATATCACTATCGATATCACAATCGATCTCACAATCGACGTCATCATCATCGACATCATCGTCATCAACGTCATCAGCATCATCATCATCATCGGGAAACCAACATCATCATCACCTCATCATCATCAACATCATCACCATCATCATCATCGAGACACCATCATCGTCAACATCATCATCATCATCAACATCGTCATCATCGGCACACCAGCATCACCATCATCATCGGAGCACCACCATCATCATCATCTCATCATCGTCATCATCATGAAGCACATCGTCAACATCATCATCATCGGGACACCATCATCATCATCACCAGTAACATCATCATCAACATCATCACCATCATCGGGACACCATCATCGTCACCACCATCATCATCATCATCGTCATCATCGGGCCACCATCATCAACATCATCACCATCATCACCTCATCATCATCCTCATCATCAACATCATCATCGTCATCATCATCATCATCGAACACCATCATCGTCATCATCATCATCAACATCATCATCATCGGGACACCATCATCGTCGCCATCATCAACATCATCAGCATCATCATCATCATCGGGACACCATCATAATCACCATCATCATCAGGAACATCATCGTCAACCTCATCATCATCACCATCGGGACACCATCATCATCATCCACAGCATCATCATCACCATCGGGCCACCACCATCAAAATCATTATCATCACCTCATCATCACCCTCATCAGCATCATCATCATCGGGACACCATCATCGTCATCATGTTGACCAACATCATCATCGGACACCATGATCGTCATCATCACCAACATCATCACCAGGGCACCATCATCATCACCATCATCATCAGGAACATCATCATCAACCTCATCATCATCACCATCGGGACACCATCATTATCATCTTCATCACCACCATTTCATCATCTCATCATCAACATCATCAGGATCATCAACATCATCGTCGTCATCATCGGGGCACCATCATCATCAACATCAGCATCATCAACATCATCATCATCATCGCGACACCATCATCATCATCATCAGCAATACCATCATCATCAACATCGTCATCATCATCATCATCATCATCATCATCGGGACACCGACGGGACACCGGCGGGACACCAGCGGGACACCGCGCGGCACTGGTTGCCGGAAGGGAGACTTTTGGTCTGGCCGCGCCTCAGCCAGAGGCGGGACATTTCTCGCCCGCCCACGCAGCTTCGCCTCGCCCGCACGCACGGCACGCACGAACACGAAACCGAAACCGATTTCCCGGTAGGGGGGCTCTCCGTTCCACTTCGATCTCACCCCCTCACCTCCGATGTACGTATGCATGCATGCATGCATGCATACATGTATGTATGTATGTATGTACGTACGTATGTATGTACGTATGTAGGTACAAGTGTATAGCTGTAGGCGTACATGCGTGTATGCAAGGATGTATGGATGCACGCATACATGTATATATGTACGCATGCATGTTTGTAACACATGTATGTATGCATGTATGTATGCATGCACGCATGCATGTATGCATGTGTGTATGTATGGGTGTGCGTCAGTCTGCCTGCTTGTCTGTCTGTCTTTCTGTCTGCATGCATGCATGCATGTTTGTATGTACTTATGGATGGATGGAGGGATGGACGTAAGTATACACGTTCGTATATACATGGGGAGGAGTAGCCACCCTGGTTCTGGAGGCAGCAGGCGGCTGAGGACGCCAACGCACCCAACTCCCCCCCGTTTTTACCCTACGTGGTGATGAGAAGGAGCAGCGGCGGCTGGCGCCTGCTGCACGTTGTCCCTTTCAAGCTAATGACGCTAGTAGCACCATGCCGGCTGCAGGATATATCAGCGGAGTTTCCCAAGACGGATTGCGTGATGTTGCAGGGTACACAGTTCTCAGCAGCGTGGCCCAAGCCAATTGAGCACCTGCACAGTAAAGAGTATTTGTATTGGCACGCGGGACATGGAAACGAAACCAAGAAGGCATGCGGAGTTGCCATTGGCCTGGACAAGAAGAAGTACCAAAGTGAGTCTGTCACCAAAGTTGAACATGGAACAGGTGCACTGCAGGGACTTGCGCTTTGTCTACGCTACCGCAGGTGTCGACAGGACATGGCATTCCTTTGTCGTTATTTTCGCACCGGAGGCTCGGGCAGAGGTGCGGTGGCAAGACAGCGAGACACCCTTACACGACTGACGGAATGGATTCAGAGCAGGTTGAATGAACTCCCCACGCGATGTGGACCACTCGTAGGAATGGATCTCAACAGCACTGTGGGACAGCATCAAACAACGCGACCAGTAGCAAGAGAAGAAGAACCAGACAGAGAAGGCCCGCCTATCTGCAGCTGCGACCAGCACTGCGTGCACACAATATGGCGATCGCCAATTTTCCCGAGCGGGACCGACCTACTATGGAGTGCGAGCAGGAATGCAACAGCGTATCGATTTCATCGCAGTGCCACAGCATGATTTCGAATGCTGACACATGTCATGTAGCAAACGTGAAGCGCAGAAAGTTGCAGCACCTACGCAGCCAGCAGCCAGCATATCATCTTCCTGTTTGTGTATATGTATGGCATACGCTTGAATGGAGTCAGCCCTCACACCTCCCCAAGGCAAATGCAGAAACTTGCAACGTTTGTCATTTTGAATGGAGACAAGAGAACTGATCTGCTGCAAGCTATCGGGAGTGACCCACAGTATCATCTACCAGTTTTTCGGCATTGGGAGTCGGGGGGGCGGGAGTCGACATTGGACTGTGCCAAATTGTTGGGGACGGGACGTGGCGGCCGACATGCTGAAAGACCCACCTCTTGGGAATCAAGAAAGTCAAGAGCAGACGATCACAAGTAGCAAGAGGCCGAATTACGATAACAATAATTCCCAGATGAGCTATCATTCGAAGTGGTGAGATTGATCATTGGTCCGAAGGATACCCGTACCCGGGGCCAGCCAAGGTGAGATGGGCCGTCCAGGGGACTGGGCGTTTGCCATTGTGCCCGGTCAGCATGCCCCGCGCGCGCGCCAGTGCAGCATCCGCGCGTCAAGACGCAACGGCGCGCTCGATGGTTGGGTGTCTGATTGCAGCGACAAGCGCTGGTTTTTGTTAGGGACGTCTCGGGGCATCGCGGTGCGCGCGCGGCTCAAAGCCGCCCATATGTGGTGGCGCCTGTCCCAATCGATGAGGAGTTGCATTTTCTCGTTACCCTGGCAACCACTGCGTCTGGGCCTGCCCCGAGGAACGACGTTGCAATGGCGCGCCCCCCAGGGGGCCGCAGCGGCCACGTCGGGGGCGGCTCTGGAGGGCATGATATGTGCTCGAGAGCATTTTGGGCCTGCCGCCACCTCGGCTAGGTACGGGGACCTGCCTGAAACCACCGAAACATACCCGGACCTAGCTGGGGTGGAGCTGCGGCACCCCGACTAGGTACGGGTATGTTTTTTGGTTTTCATGGGGCAACCGTACCTAGCTGGGGTGATCCGCAGACGGCCGTCCAAGGGGGGCGGCCTCTGGCGACCTCGCCCAGGGCACAGATTCGCGATGTTTTTGCGTCGAGCAATTCGCGATAGGGCGGTTGTCGCGCAATGACGTTCGCGCCAGAGTTGTTC